CGACGTCTTGATACAGCTTCCTTTGGGGTCCAATTAAAATAGCTGGCTGTATAGAAACTTGAAGAAAGAAAACTAGTAGAATACTTTGTTAACAAGTACTAAGATACTAAAAAAAATATTAAATAGCTGGCAGTAGAGAAACTTGAAGAAAAAAATAAATAAACTATCAAAATAAATCGTCAATATATAGGTATATCAAGTACTAAATTATTTAATAAAAAAAAATATCTGGCAGTAAAAAAAAAATGAGACAGAAAATAAACTAGCAGAATAAATTCTTAACATATAGTATGTCAAATACAGTTATTAAAAAAAGAACTAAATAGCTGGCTGTAAAGAAACAGGGAAAAAATAATAATAAAAAAAAACTAGCAGACTAAATTTTTAACTAATCTCAATATCATGTATTATTTTACTTTAAAAAAAGCTATTAAACCTCTTTGGATATTTTTAATACAACAAATACTCGTACTAAACTTTCAAACAAAACGAACCTTTCTTCTCTTTATGAGTAGTACTTTAAAACAAAAATGACATTATTGTAAACAAAAATATTATAAAACTATTGTGTAATATCGAGATAAAATTAATATGTCATTCAATATTGCACCATGTGATGATACGTGTAGAGTTTATTTCACAATACCACATTTCCCTGCTCTAGTGTACTATTTTTCACGCCACGTTTTATGAGCTATGTCGTAATAACAATGTATGTACAGACCTCTCATGACTGTATTATATTTTAATTAGGCCTCGTTCCATATGAACAGTGTGGGAATCGATTTACATATAAAATGTATTAATTAAAAATAATTACTTAATACCAGTCATTAGATCTCGCAGTTTTCATACTATAAAATGCAGTTCAGGATTTAAAAACTGAAGTTCTAAATAATATTCTTATTTATTTAAGTTTTCTTTGTTACAAAACAAATGGTATGCACAAATCGTGCGTATTAAAAGTAATAATGCAAGCAAAACCAAACGATTGGTTCCGCAGACGAATTTGTTTAAGTTAATATAGATAAAAAAAGACATTAATTTGACTAGCAACTTCCGGTCGGCAAAGATTACGTTAAAAATATTTACGTAACGTACATTAAAGATTATATTAGATTAAACAAATTTCAAACACTCATACTGCGAATGGCATATTTTGTTGAAATACTTACAAGCCATAGTTTTATATTTTTGCTACTCGTTTTAAAACATCTTTTTGTATAATTTTGAAAGCACTTATTTTGTTCATTGCATTATATAATCGCAAAATTCACAGTAATTTGTTCTTTGTTTTATAGTTTAATTTAAATTTATTGCACTTTTACTAACACTAACTCAATTATGTAACTGCATTAAAAGTAATGTACATAAAATACATAAAATATATTTTTATTGTTATTATCAACATATTATCACTTTCAAAAGAATTTTTTTTTATGACAGTTAATTAATTATTTATTAAAAAACCTTTTTTTGACATAAAGAAATGCAAATGTTTCAGCCACGAACTTTTAAGTTTAAAAACGGTTAATCGGAATGCACAATTAAAAATAATTGAAATCAAATTAAACCAATTAATTGTCTTATAAAAGGAATATATTTTCATATAAATGTTAATAAATTTAAATACAGAATTCTCATACGAACCCAGCACGTACACAACAACACTGAAATACATTTAAATCGTCTTATAAATACTTAAATAACAAACAAAATCTAATCACGATCTTTTAAATCTATCGTATGCAGTAAATGGTTTAAAAGTACAATTTTTATACAAAAAATCCAAAGGAATTCATTTCTTATAGCAATAGACATATAGTTCAATTTATAATATTATATATCTAGTATTTTACCAGACTAACAACGTTGAATTGACAAAAAAAATTATAACCACCATCGCGGATGGTATTCAAGTAAATATATATATAGCTTTGATTTTATATACATCGAATACTTTCAAGTGCAGTCGCCCCAACCCGTCCTTATGCGACCAGCGTTGTATTACATCATACTTTTTCTTGCATATTCCGAATGCAAGCCATAAACACACTCGCCCAACAAGTTTCTATACACGTTTTAATATACCAATTAAAAACAAGTTAATATAGTCTCGTTATCTTTGATGTTTGTTTTCCCACGCATTTATTGTAAATCACAGATATAACAAAATAACTGACAAATATATAGAAAATTAGCTGACATGTCAAACGTTGTTTTGCCATATAAAAAAATAGAAATAAAAATGTTGGGTTGTATATATTTTTTAAAGCTAAAAATAAAAAATTTAAACAGAAAAATTACGCCTGAAAAAACTAAATAAGGGTGAACAACCCTTATGACTTAGGGCAAGAAAAATAGATGTTGGCCAATTCTCATTATGCTCACAAAATTTCATGAAAATCGGTCCAGCCGTTTCGGAGGAGTTCTCTGTCTAACACCGCGACACGACAACTTTATATAAAAGATTAACAAACCTGCAACCAAAAACAAACTTATTACTCACCTTTGATGTAATAGAAATTATATTTAAATTACAAAATATCTAGTTACAATGGCTCGTGCATATACGTATTAAATTATGCACATTAATTATTTCTTCATGTCCTATTACAAAGAATTTGTTTAATGTAAAGTAAAGAATAATCAGTTTTATTTAGACATATTTTATAAGTGACAAATGTTCTAGATTCCATGGTTATGGCAACAATGCGATATCCCTACTAATATTATAAATACGAAAGTAACTGTCTGTCTGTCTGTTACGCTTTCACGCCTAAACCACTGAACTGATTTTAATGAAATTTGGTACAGACATAGAGTTGACCTTGAGAAAGAACATAGGATAGTTTTTATCCCAGACTTTTCAAAGGTTTTCTTGGAAACGCAATATAACCGAACTCCACGCGAGCGAAGCTGCGGGCGGAAAGCTAGTATTTTATAAGTGATAAATGTTCTAGATTCCGTAGTTATGGCAACAATGCGATATAGATTATACTCTTGAGCAAACAAGGACATCGTTTAAAAGTGAGTTGAGGTTTTCTTTATAAGTACTTCGTTGGTTTTACATATGAATAGCAAAAAAAAAACCTAAAAGTTATTTATTTTAGTCCATTTTATAAAAATATTACGTTTATTATCGCGTTTCAATCATGGTATATTTTGAATTATTTGAATTGACAACTGACTCTACCTTTTTGTAGGTTGAATATTCGTACAACTCATTTTATTTTTTTAGAAAACATCTCTTATGAAAAACATGAACTATTAGTTTTATTTAAATGTGCCATTTAAATATATAGGCCTCCGGACATTTGCATATGTCTCCGAGGTAATTTTAAGCCAACCCAAATTGTTTTATAGTGTGGGTTGGCTGTATAAATTAAACATTACCTAATATCCGAAATAGGTTATCTGTGGCATGAATCAACAAGGATTAAGATATAAAAAGATTCTTTATACTCTATTGCTTCTGTCTACATCATTTATCTTTTATAATTGCAAAGTTTTCTATATAAATCTATTTTTACTTTCACCACATAAAAAGTCGTCACTAACTTGATTTTTTACACCATAGTATCATGTAAAGTTATGAATAAATATTAAATACTCGCAACTGTATGTATTGATGTAATAACTTACAAACTCGTGGTAAGGTAATGATCATACAAATCTGAAATCACAAACGAGTACAAAAGCGATGACGACTCAGGAAGTTAAAGCCGGTCGATATAAACGAACTATGTTTCAAGACACGGACTCAATAAACAAGTAAATATGATAATTGAAGGTTAAACAACATTTTTTATACAAATAAGATTCTTTTAATTCATAAAAACCATTTATATTAATTCAATTAAGCTGTTTTACGCTTGGAAAAACGGAATGTACATAATGTGAAGGTCAAATAACTTCGTACGCTCAAAGAATGTGGAACTTAGGAGGGCACTGAAATATATTAAAATAAACGTATTAAGATATTAAATCAGGGATGATATATATTCAATTGGATATTTGATTAATATAAAAAAGATTTCAGTCAAAAATATGATGCAATTTGATCACAAATTCAGATAATCTGCTTTTGAGTTTATCTTTATATATAACCTTCATGGTACAATTTAAAAGTAATGATGTTTAAATTCAAATATGGAAGTTTAAATTAAAAAAAAAATTGATAAGAATTCAAGGATGAGAGAACACACCTTTTTTGGTTAGCAAAACATATTCAAAAGAACAAATTTGTTTGAATTTTAGTATGCGGCAACCCTAATGTGTAAATTCTAGCTCCCTTCAAAGCTATGCGGTCACAGCTAAAGCCAAGTACCGGTATACAGTATACATAGTACTCTTATATCTTTATAAACTAAGTATATCATTCAACAGCTAACAAGTCTCCATACAAACGAGTTACAGTACAAGCTTTAAGTATTTCTAACTTGATTGTTAATTATTATTATCGCTTCTTTCACATGCATGTTATTTAAGAGATGTGTTGAGGAAGGAATTTCTTTTAAGTAACGTTTAATATCTATTTGTAAATGAGATAATCTCGAAATCAAAACCTTCGTATTGTTATGAGCGGTTGGACGCGGAACATTTTTTATCAGACCATTCACAAATAACCGCCACCAAAGACCGTTAGCACCTGCCTACCAACGAACAGATAGATACCGATTCAATAAAAAAAATATACACGACGGATTATGAAGAAACCGGTAATTTAAAAATTCATATACGAACATCGCTAAGTTACTGTTATTAAATGAAATGACACCATAATGGGACATCTCAAAACAGTTACGTTTCAAGCGATAACCTAAATTAAATATTAATTGAGATAAAACACGGAACAGATCAAATATTTTAACTATTTCGAAGAGAAAAAAAAAAACAGATTTCGACATATCTTAGCACTACATAATCGAAACCGGTTCTTTGGTATTTTTAACGGATAACGCGGGGAGGGAAATTGATTGATGTGCGAATAAACTCACCTGCCGTTAGGAGCTGATGGGGAATGCACGAGCTTCACCGCGAACAGAAACTGGATAGCACAGACTAGAAGACAGCAGAGGTTCAATGATAGCGTCAACGCGCACAACGCTAGAGTCACTTCGTACACTACAGCGAATTCCTCGGGCGCACTAGTCGCTGGCGCTGATATTTTCAGCAGAAATAATAATGCCAGTAACGCTAATAATAAGCTGACGAGGCATAATAATGCCAGGGAAGTCAACGCTTCCTCTGTAGCGGCGCGCGTGCTCCTCGACCTGTTAGAGACTGGTCTGGCATTCACCCCGGTGGCATTTCCATTGGCAAGTTTGGGGGGTGATGCCACCGGCACCGGGGTTACTACAGGCACCGTAGTGGTAGCTGGCTGAGCTCCAGGACTGACGCTAGCGGACGTTCCTCCTACGGAATGTTTGGAAGAGTCTAGAGTTGATACGTTGAGCGGTAGGTGGTGGTGCGGCCGCCGCGGCATGTTCTGATATCGATGGTCATCGTTCGCCGCCGGCGGCCGCTGTGCATGCTTCAACATATCGCAGCTCTCAAGCCGTGGACAGCCATCGCGCGTTCTCGTATCCCGGCATTCGGTTAACGTAACACAAAACACGACCGCACTGTCCGACAAACGCGGCTCGACTGACGATCGTACTGACTGTAGAGTATAGTCTGTACCCCCCGCGTCAAAATTGTCAATCAAACCGGTGCAGGGTGCATACTGCCATCCAAAACTAGAATGTCTATCACCAAACCTCCCTGAACAATGGATTCAAAACACGATTGTAATAATGTAAATCAAACTCCATTTAATTGTTCATAAAGACAATAGAACTGAATGTTTAATATGTGCACGCGACGGTAAAGCTTGAGTTGTTTGTAAACACTACGTTACTTATTATAAATTATGAGCAATCGTTTATGGTAACTATATAAATACTGACGTTAAAGACGGCGGAAATATTTGCTGATTTACAGTTTAAAGCAATACATAATTACTTTCATACTTAAGATAAGTAACAATAGACTTAGACGGCAATTAAACAAATCTGTAATGCTAGATACCACTAATTACTTTACGAGTTAAAATAAAACACAATTTCCATTGCACAAAACCGGTTCAGTTCAAACAGGGTCAAGGTATTTTATGCGAGAATTCTGGAATTATGAAAGCAACCGATGTAATGTAGAGATTTAAAAAATATATACTAATACGATAAGATAAAGTTATGTACACGAAAGAGGTTTTATTTAGCGTGTATATAGATTATTTTTTATCTGTATTTTTTGAACGGAAGTGTCATAATTTTATGTGTAAGGTCTCCAAAGCTATCTAGGCTTTAATAATATACCATATGTCCGTGATAGTGCTCACTGGCACGTGGTGGAACACACCACCTGCCGACAGATGTTCAGATATAAAATGACATAAAAAAATGAAGTCAATAACTCCATACACATCATTTTTATACAGACTTTCCGTATAACTAGAAACTAGGATTTGCACTCCACAGTATTAAAAAATATTACGAGTAATTTTGTGGTAAATATGCATTAGATATTATTCTTCTTTGAGGCCAAAATTTACCATGTTCTTTTTCTACTAACACAAAAAAAATATTTTTAATACCGTTTTAATACTAGGAAGGCTTACACTATAATTTTTAAAAATTATTAATTCTAAAAGAGGCCTATCATTTAAAAGTTAATAAATAATATTAAAAGAACTCTATATCATTCGAAAACTTCTTTAATCATAATAAAAATCACCGTTCATTTTGTCCCAAAAGAAGGATTGTGATTTCCCTCAAATCTTTAAGTAAAAATATCTTAATTTCTTTCCCTGCTTTATAGAATAGTCGTAACGAGTTTCTCTAGAAAAATGCTCGACAAAAAAACACGTAACAAATGCAATCGAACCTGTACTCACAATAATAAATCTATCCTCATTGAAGTTGCGGCGTCCGCAGTAAGGATATGGTTGCATCTTCATAATGGCGACCATATACACGATAAATAAGATATATTTCCTAACATAATCATAGAGTCGATTAAATTTAGTTAAACCTTATTAAGTAAGCTGTATGTTGTGGATTGTTTCAAGAAACAATAAAAAAAATTAGATTTAGTTAGTTAGACATTTGAAAAAAAAAGTTACGTCATGCTTGACAGATCAATACCAAAAAGTTTTTAATTATTATAAAATCGTTACATACTGAGATGGTAATATAAAATCAATTACGCATACTTGTATATTCATTAAATTATATAAGGAGAAATGATTAATGATGACATAAAAATATTTTAAATATATATCTGATTATCCAAATTGCTCAGACAAATTTAATGTTTTTATCCCACAAACTATGAAAGCGTGGCTGCACAAGTATTGAGACTTGCGTGTCACAAAACGCGCTTGTCAAAGAATGCAGCTTTTCTACTTGAGACGCCATTATAGTTTAATGTCACGTATAAACCATGAATCAATTTTATTTCTTTCATCTACTTATATCAAAAAGCAATTTTTTAACTTAATTAATTGTTGTCTCTCTTAACATATCTTATGTTCGAATAATATTTTTTACGGTTATTTAAAATGTCTTCATAGTTCGTTTTAACTCGACAAACTCATAATTAAAAATTAATTGGAGTCTAAAAAAATATCAACAGGAACTTTTGTAAATGTTCAAATTACATATTCGTGTCACTAAAACGATTTAAGACACAAATGAAATCTGTCAAATAAAAATTCTCGCGATACGATACTAAATATTACAAAAAATAAAACGTTATCATTAGCGTAATTATTAACAAGGTCAGTTAAGTAAGATGATAAAGGTCAAACCAGATAAATCGCAATAACTTGAGAGACCTCAGTCCGCTGTGATAGCTCTGAGAAAAATGGGGGCGTAAGTAAACTTTTAACGTACATTTAAAGTTAACCAACCAGTTTATTTAAATAACTAACATGTGTCCAATGAGGTATTATTATATTATTACTTACAAGCGCGGAGTTAATATTTAATGATCGTGTGGATGTGTCACAATGTTTTAAAGTGCCTTCTTGTTTATTATTTCAATACGATTTTCAGAGTCATTGACAAATATGAAATAACTAGTTATCCTTGACAACTTAGCTGTCATATACCTAACGTTATCCAATTTAAAGGTTTTGTTCGTAAAGTTAATGAAATAATTACACGTTAATATATAAGTAAATAAAATAATTTATTTTTGTCATATGAATTTCGACACAGTGTTAATTAATAAGAATTTTCTTAAATAATCTAAAATCGATACCATCAAATACGATGTTTTTTTAATATCAATTAATTATCAATCAATTAATTATTTCATATGGCAAACATATTTAATATTTATCATTTACAACCATTTTAACTGATAAGACGAAGACTGATAATTCTTAAGACTATCTAAATAGACATGTAAAATTAGTGTTAGATTAATATTTTCATTTTCAGACCAGTCATGGACGTAATTGTTGTGGGTTGTGGTGCGTCAGGGATAGCTGCTTTGAGGAAACTACATGATAATGGTTTGAGAGCCATCGGTTTGGAAGCAGCTGATAGAATTGGCGGTAGAATTCTATCCATCCCATTTGGAAATAAATATTTAGATTTGGGTGCTGCCTGGTGAATATATAATCATTTTAAAACAGCATTTTAATGATGCATTTATTTACAAATGCGTTGTGTATTCAAAAAGTTCGTTAATGAACTGAAATATGTAATGGATAGTGGACACGTTAAGATTTTTTCCTTCAACTTTTAAGAAATATAACTAAAAATATTTATATACATACATACATTCATATTTTTCTAATTATGATGACTTTTAAACTATTTTATATAGTGCAGGTCCGAATTTCAAATGCTCGTAATATATAGATTAAGTAATAACTTTTTTTTATTGCCAGGTGTCATGGCGAAAAGGATAATAAAGTTTTCGAAATGGCAAATAAGTTGGACCTCCTTGGTAGGTCGCAGCCGGATAACAAATGGTTTTTATTATCTAACGGGGACCCTGTACCTGATGAAAACAGTGTAGGAATTCTTCAAGCACTGAATGACGAACTATCGAAGGCCAATAAAAGTAATACACTATCGATATCCGAATGCATCCGAAAAGCGTACGTAGTTAACGTAATTTATTATGAAAAATACCTGATCAATAGATTTTATTAAGTAATTTTAAATCTTACGGATTATTAATTACTATAAGAGATAAAATTTCTTGTTATAGGGCGAAAACGAACTCAGTACTGAAAAAAGACCCAAGCTTGACGCAGAGTTTCGTAGAATGGTTTGAAAGAGACAAACAAGTAGGTGGTCAGGTTGACCCTAAAAAAGGGAAATCCTTAAAGGGTCTAGATGAAATGCGAGTATGCGAAGGCGACTTCATGCTTCATTGGAAAGGAAGAGGATTCAAAACTATCCTCGATATTTTGCTGGTAAAATTATACCCCTTAATTTTTTGACATATAATGGCATAAAAAATGTCTAATATAAATTTTCTTTTAGAATAAATATCCGGATGCATCCAAAGAACTACCGATACAAATCCATCTGAACAAAGAAGTCGAAATTATAAAATGGAAGACAAACAAACCGGAAATTGATTCTGGCAAACCTTTGGTGCAAATCAAATGCAAAGATGGCAGCTTGTACGCCGCTAAAAGTGTCATTGTCACTTTATCGGTTGGCGTTTTGAAAGAGCGGTAAAATAAAATTATATAACATTCAAATTATTCATTTACATCTATTGTCTTTATATATTATTTCGTTTTATTTTTAGACACGACATATTATTTAATCCGCCATTACCTAAAGAGAAAATCAACGCGATAAACAATCTACAGTTATGTGTTTTGGACAAAATATACATCGAATTTGAAAACGCTTGGTGGCCGAAATCACCGGCTAGCTTCACTATTCTGTGGACAGATAAAGATAAATCTAAATTCTCAAGTAACGAAAAATGGGTGACGGAAATATTCAGTTTCATTTCTATCGACAATTATCCGAATATGTTATTGGCTTGGATATACGGTGAAGGTGCGATGCAAATGGAGAAAGTTAGCGAGGAAGATTTTAAAAACGGCGTGAAGAAACTGTTGAAAGTATTGTTCGGTAAACAATTCAAAATGAGCCCCGTGAAGTCAATTATGAGGTGAGTTTTCATCATCGACATATACTAATGGATATGCCTTAGAGATGAGAATTGTGGCACTCCGAAAGAAAGAGAGGAAACGAAGTTTCGGTCTATTTTTATCTCTCTCAAATTTATATGCCGTGCTTGTAATGAAAACTGAGCGCCAATCATCTATGTGGAAAGAGATAGTGCTAGACCGAAAGCATAGGCCATCTCTCTCACTTTTTTCAAACCAAAAAATTGGCATGTCCATTAGAATATGTCGATGGTCTTAAAGACGACACAAACAAATTTAAATTTAGACATTTGTGTTTTTCTCCACACAGTACTTACTCGAGATTTAAAATTAAAATTACTTCAACTAATAAAAACTATGACATTTCAATTATTTGACTATTCTACAGGAATGCAGCCACAGTTTAAAATAAAAATAATATATTCTGACAACTTAAAAATGCGTGATTGTTTAATGTCTATTAATTGTACCTTTATGATTGACGTAGTACGCACATAGTACATACTAAAATATTACTTGAGCGGAAGCATGGCTCGCCGTTCCCGCTCACTAGCCTACGCACTGCGCAGAGAACGCCGAGGAGTTTAGTGGGTGGAAATCCCACACGCCCCCGCCGAGTTTCCCCCGCGGCGGGAAGTCTTTGAAAGATTCTCCTCGTTAAAAAAAAAAAAAAAAAAAAATACTAAAATATTACTAATAGTCTAGTAGGAATCAGCAGTCCAGGGCCGTAATGTTTTTCATATTCTTTATTGAAATCCCTATAAAAAAGGCCCTATGGCTTTTCACAATAAAGAAAATATTTTCAAAGATATTAAATTTTAAAGGTTCGAAAAATTTCAAACCTTTCGACGCATGAAAAATATATAGGTATATTTTAATACTCTATACATTACTTAATAATATTGTTAATAGATTAAAAAAACCTTGTTTATATCTGTTTTTTATTTGTTAATTTCGCGCGCTCACAAGTATGCTTCGCAATTGTTTAAACATTTTCGGTTTAAACAACATGGCTCCAAGTAGAAACATACATTTATGTCATCAGTTAAGCAATTTGAAGAGAATCGCAAGAAAAAAATGAGGTCGAATAGTTTTCGGGACTCATACATACCGATTCTTCCTGGACTATAAGTTTAATCAAAATCAATTTAAACATTTCAGCATGAAAAAGAAACATTCAAATATAATTCGTGATTTTAATCTTTTTAATATCTTAGAGACATTCAAAACTGTTTTTGTTCACGATTTACATCATTCATTTAATTATTCTCCATTTAACCCAACATTTCGACTATTTTTCAAACTACTTAATATGCACGTAAAAATTTAAGCTATTTAAATCTCATTACAGATCTCAATGGGCATCAAATCCGTTAGTTCGTGGTTCCTATTCATACAGGAGCGTTGCTAGCGAGGAAAATGGTGGTAACGCTATAATTCTCAGTGAACCATTGTATCATGGTGATAATTTCCCTGTCGTATGTTTCGCTGGTGAAGCTACTTCCCATTACCAACACGCTTCAGCCCACGGCGCTATAGAAGCAGGATTTAGAGAAGCTATGAGATTGGTTGATAAGATTAAGAAATAAAAAACATTGTTATAATATATTAAGTCGGGAATAGTGTAAATCCGCGTAACTAACATTGGATAATTCCGCGTATCTACATTGGAAACAGATTATCAGAAGTTTAAGCTGAAATATCTTCTATATTAACGACTTTTCAGGTAATTTTTGCATTAAATAATAAATATTGTGAAAAAATTACTTTAAAAGTCAGTAATATAGAAAATATTTCAGCCCAAACTTTCTTCTGATCTGCTTCCAGTACAAATACGCGTAATTAACCAATGGTAGTTAAACGGATTTGCACTATCCGACGATATCATTTTGTTTGTATCAATAAAAGTTTTCTTATAACATATCTTTTATTTGAAGAAAGAAAGAAAAGACATTTATTGACATACACACAAAAAAAATTATACCAAAAAGCATATAAAAATAACATTACAAAAATAAATATAATTGATTTCTAAATATTAAATGATATTGAAGGCCAAACGAAGTGTAAGCAACAACATATACTATAAGGTATGTTAGGTATTATTTTATTTTTATGTATATTTGGTAATTCTAAATAAAATTTATTATCAACTGACATTATGTCAACTTCATGTTTTTGTACAGCTACAATAAACTCTTCATGCCTAGTACATAATGAACCCTAATTTAGGAAACCAATTTTTGATTTCTTTTTATTTAACATTGTAATATTTAAGAGATTTTTTAATATACAACCAATTATATGTTTTAGTTTTTATATTTATTTCATATAATTTGCATGTTCTTAAATTAAAGTATACTATACTTATAAACATTAGTAAAATTGTAAGTTTTAATAGAATTGTAATATTTCTATATAATAATTATTTATGTATATATGTATATTTATAATTTGTAGTTGTATAAGTTATAAAAAATATATGAGTTAAAAACAAATATATAGCAACAAAACAATACCTTATCATTATACCATAGTTGCACATTCCTATTTGACACAGTTTTGATATATAAAGTTAACAAAAGAATATAATATAATTTTCCAAAATAATAACAAATCTTATTATAAAGTTTCTACAGATTTTTGCAAGATATTAACTAAGTTGTACATACTTGCTAAGAAAGATGAAATATGAAGTAACCTTTAGCAAATGTAAAAATTAAAATTAAGAATATATTATGAGTGCTAGTATACATTAGTTTCTAGTTTAATCGACTCCAAAAAAAATTCACATTCATAACTTCGCGAACCTTAAAGAATAGCTGGGCGTTCGTTCTTGTCAGACGTTCATTAATATAAAAACTTAATAATAATAATAATAATAAATCTTTATTTCGAACACATAGTCCATAGGGTACAAAAAAAAAAATATAATAATAATAAAATAATAAAAAATAAATAATAATAAAAAAATAATAGAAAATAAATTAAGATGGAATAAGTACATTAAAAATAAATAAATAAATAATACAAAATAACGACACAGCATCATCGCACATGGGCACGCAGGTAGGTCTTCAGAATATCTGAGTCGTACCTGTCGGCAATTACTTGCAGAATGCTATTAGAGCTGCCCCGCAACCTGCTTATAGATGAAGCTAGCCTCTTGCGTATGATGGCTTGAAATCCATCAGTTCTTTCATTTGTAAACATACCTGAGGCACTACAGAACCGAGGCAGCCCCAACAGCATCCTGAAGCCATTATTAATATTAACTATTAATATATTTGATATAAAATTTGATAACATGTATTAATTATGTATAAACAACATCAGATTTAATAGTTTCAGTGCTTATAATATTTCCCTGTACGTCTACATCACACATCAATATTTCCACTGCCTCAGATTGTTTAGCCACTTCATCATTCTTGTTTGTGTTCTTCAAAGTTATTTCAAATCTCTTCGGAGTAGTTTCAGTGGCTTCGGCCGTCTGTTTCAAGTCGAATTCAAATGTATTAGTCAATGATTCCTTGGGTCCGCTGTAACCGTCAACAATCTTCTTGGAAACTTCTAGAACTTCAAATCTCGTTGTAGTTAATCGGTACATACCGTCTTCGCTGATTTGATATCTGATTTAAAAATAGAAAACTTCAATTAATATATAAGAGTTTAATTCTTCTGAATAAATTTAGACAATTTTTAATGTATGCCATTTTGGTGTTGTTATACGATTAAAGTTAAATAAAAATTTCAACAATGACTTTGTTAGTTACCTATAATATTTTTAGCAATCTTTCCAAAAGTAGGGGATATGTAATTGTCTATATGTATATGAATGAAAGCAATGTAGAATGAATACTTGAATTCAAATGGAAGAAAAAACGAAAACTTCATAGCTACTCAAATTAAACATTCTAGAGGTCGCAAATTCGTCTATATTCTTATCTAATTAGCTTTATTATATTATCAATTATTAGTGATTATTTGTTTTTAACTCACCTAAACCTACTATGTCCAAAGGGCCATTGAGCTCCGTGTACTTTTACCAAGTGTGTAGTGAGTCGTGTCCCGCGCGAAAATATTTTACTATCTTTCTGACACAAGTGACACACGTATTTCTTCGGTTCCTTTTTCTTTTTTACTTCCGTATCAGAAATGTCGGAATCATCGCTATCGACTTTCGTCTTTTTCTTGGCTTTTCTTGTATGTGTTAATATGTGTTTGCTCAGGTCACATTTAGTCACCGCTCTAAAATTAAAATTTTTAATATCAAATTATTGAGTTACTCACCAAATTATGAACACATGTATATGTGTATACACGACCGTATATCATTAATGAGGATGGATAGTAAAAGAGATTCAACACTGTATCCTTGAAGAACACACTTCATATAAAACGTGATGATTATTTTAAATTACTTAATACTTTTTAGTTAACAGTAATTTTAACACACACAAGAATGCATCCACACGCACACAAATACGCGCTTACGTACTCCAACACGTGTATGTTCACTGTCTACACGCACAAACACACCCACACACTCACACTAGCTCATACACACGAGCACGTACACATTAACACAAAGGAACGCATTCATACACATACACGAGCGCGTCCTAACACACACACACACACAAAAACGTGTATCCACACACACACTAGCTCACACATAGTATCGTATACAGACCTGTAATCACAATGCGGGCAGGCGAAGGTGCTGGCCGTCACAAGAGCGCATCCATACACACACTAATACGCGCTAACGTAACGTACACACACATGTATCCACTCTTCACACACACACACACAAGTATACAGACCTGTAGATACAATGCGGGCAGGCGAAGGTCCGCGCGTGGTCAGCCAGGTGTCTGTACCGCACGTGGTGAGCGAGCGCGGCAGGCGTGGTGGCCGACATGTCGCACAGTGTGCACGCGTACGCCGAAACGTGCTGACGTGCGTGCTCGCGCTGGAGGTACGCGCTCGCCAGCACAGTCCCGCACATGTTACACGGGTAGCCGGTAGATGGGTCTACGTTCTGATATAAAATAGTAGTCAATAATTCACATACAGTGAAGGAAAACATCGTGAGGAAACCTGGACTTATAGTTTCACAATTATAAGTTTGAAATCACCAACCCGTCTTACAAGTGTGGTGATTAATGCTCAAACCTTCTCCATGTGAGAAGAGGCAGCTCAGCAGTGCAGAGCAGTGGGCTCTGATAGGCTGATGACAATGAGATCTTAGTTCTTACTTAGTTACTCTACTAGTCTTACTTTAGTATTCATTTATATCAATAGTTTTCGGATTTACTAAGCGTTTATGATTTTTAACTTTTAACAACATACTCCCTATGTTTTGGTTACTTTACAGCAATTAATGAGAATGTAATTTCATTTAGTATATTACATTTTAATAGAAACAAAAATTTAAAATCGTTCCAAAACATATCAGTTCCTAGCTTAATATTGTCATACCTACCTGTCTCGCTAAATGATCGCTAAGTTTTCTATTACAGCCGAAATGCCTCCCGCAATGGAAGCAGGCTATGGTTTTCTCTTGTGTATGTGATCTCAGATGCAGTACGAGCAAGCGTCGTCTACTAAACGTCGCTCCACAGCCGGCCCACGAACAGAGATGGTTGTCCGAGTAGTAAATATGATGCTTTATGTGATCTAGAAACATCTGGAAGATTAAATTGCAAGAGTTACTTAAGACTTTTTCTACTTACAAGTAAAATAAACTAAAAATCGAAATGTAATTTTATTCAAAAATGTGTTAAGGATATTATTTTTTATAATTATATATTCATGATCTTATGTTATGTTGTGACGAAATGTAATGAGTTTCTTAAATCGACAACTTGTTTCTGCTTAACTATACATTTTCGTATTTTATATGTATATATATTAAAACTTATATATATTAAATATACAAAAAAACAGTTTGGTTATTAATACTGAAAAGCATTAATTTGGTAGAATATTTGTTTTATTATACCCATAATTATATCTGTACTAATCTATTTTCGCGACTGTACAGGGTGACTGGTGAATTACTATCAATATTTAAGGAGCATACTCGGTACATGAGTCTCATTTGAATTATGTAAAAAAAATAGGCACTTAATTTTTGACCAAATTTCCGTATAAATAAATAAAGTGTGTACACGTTCCAAGTGTTCCAAGTGTGGACGTTTGCGGCGGCGTGCTGATACTACAACACGCCGCCGCGCGCGAGTGTGTGTGTGTGTGTGTGTGTATACCTAATCTGTAGGGTGTTCATACGATGCGTAATTAATTACATAACTTTTGGTTAACTTTACTCAGAAGTTTATTAATATTTATGTTATATTAATTTTTATTTTGTCATATATGATCGTCAAATATCACGTCCTCAAATATCGATAGTAATTCACCAGTCACCCTGTATAAATACCTGTATAGAAAAAAAGGTTTCCGAACATCCAATCCACATACAACAATAATCGGACTTCAATGCCGGTAATATATTACGGCGGCTCGAGTCCTTCTTACATTGTTCAAGTTTAAGGGTAGCTCGAGCATTGTAACCGATGGCTAAAAGTCTTGCATGATAAGAGTGATAGCAAATATGACGCACCATCTCAACAAAATCCTTGGTTCGATGCCCGCAAATATCCCACAAACATACATAGTCCACTGGAAAAGAAAATAAATATAAAACACATTAATATAGGTACTGACATATAGAGAATATTAATATTTAAATATTGTTTTAGGTCAATAATCAATATACAAATATTATTTCCCAACTACACATGATACAAAACCCAAAGTGATGTAATATATCTTAAGAACTGCTAAGTATTTAAACCTCTTGTAGAACTTTTCATGAACATACCATGTAAAGTTAAAATGTTCAATACAAACTTGGTAGGAACCTTTTTTATCTCGTAACTTGTGAAATTGAGAAATACTTAGAAAGAAATCTAAATCATACAAAATTTTGCATACTTATGTAAGTTACTGTAAATAGATATTAGTTGGTAAATGTTGAAAATAGGCCATTGTTGTCAGGTTTTTACCATTTAAATACATTATATGCTATGTTTTACCACTATCAGATGTTTGTTTTAGAAATAAAACAGTGAGTAACCCCGAATTATCTAGTTCTATAAAACTAACCTAACATAATAACTTTTTGGATATTTCACATTCAGTATTGGTAAATCTCGGGTTTCACTGCAGTTCAAGCTTTTACAGTAACACATATACAATAAAATATAATCTACAAGTATTGTTATAATATTCTGTAATTTTATAGTAGACATCAGTAAATAGTTCAGAATAATATTAATTACATACCATCGTCTTCCATATCAATAACATGTAAATCGGAGGCATGTTTCGTTACATGCTTCTGAAACACTTCATAATCATTGAAGAACTTCTTACAGGCTTGCCATTCACACTGCATATGTATTTTGTCTTTACGTAAACGGGTCAAAGGCTGTAATAACATAATAGTTATGTTAAAATTATTCTTTTAATTTCATTTGTAACGTAGTAAGGTAATGCTTCAATAAACTCACTGTACAGATATCAATACTTATGGTTCATTGGGATTGATTTAATATAATACACAACCTTCCCGATAAATAGCTATTATGTACAATAAAATATTTTCTAGCACCATCCATTAACAACTTAAATACGAAATTGTAACACGATGAAGCTTATTAAAAATATATGTTCTTGTATCATTAAAGCTAAATTACAATGAAAAAAAATTCTAAGCACATCGCGTAAACAATTTCAATATATAGATATATACCACGATTGCCGGTTCGGGTGTGTTTTCATCCACTCCATTTGGAACTGTTGCCTCATCCTCAGCAGCGGATAGGAAGAATTTCTTTCTGTGTGCATTCGTTTCAATAATAAACTGAATATCATTCTGATTCTGACGAGTCAACTTGTCTGGATTGTTCTGCTGCCGTAACCAATCCGTACATCTTTTGAGTTTAACATTCTCAACATCCGACGCATTTGTTACCGTTTCCTCCATGGCGTTTGAAATAAACTATATAATTATTATATAAAGTAATTAACACTTTTAACGTTTCTTTTATATTTTAATATTTCTTAACAAACGCCGAATTCCGAAAACACTGAAGTCTTACGTTATTTACTAATTTGACAACTGACAGGTGATAACGGATGTAATTCGATTACAAACATTCGTATTTTCCAGTTTCTTTGGTTAATCTTGGATATCAGGGGTTTTGATTATTATCAATAACTTAGATTTATATATGTTAGTATATATTTAGTATAAAATAAACAAATAAAATTAATAAAATCTATTTTTTAAGTTTTAATATTTGTAATATTTACTTGTAATTCTTTTGTAGTATCCACCTCATATTATATGTATGAATGAATTTTATCGTTTTGTTTGATTTATGTTTGTTGTAAAGATTTTATTTTTACAGTTACACTGAAAGCAAAATGTTTATAAAAATTATATTTTAAAATCGGTATTGCCATTTGTTTTGCTGTCGTTCGATTGACAATTCTTTCAATAAGTATAAAAACGTGCGTGCCAGGCAGCTAGCGCGTAAAGTGCGGCGTATTGAGACTGGGAAAGAATCCCCACGTTGCAATTTTAGTTTAATCTATTACTATTGTTACTTAGCGATCCTAAACAGTTTGCTTCAGTAACTGTGTAAGAACATCAGCCTGAGGATCGGAGTGCAATCCGCTCCGGTGCTGATGAAATCAACCATAACTCTAGAAGAAGTAGTGAATAAATTAGATCATCTCCCTTCACCGTTAGCCACCAGAATGCCAAACATCAAAGTATTCAGCGGGAGCTCGCATCCTGACTTAGCCCAGAAAATCGTCGATCGTCTGGGCATAGATCTCGGTAAAGTGGTAACCAAGAAATTTAGCAACATGGAAACGTGTGTTGAGATCGGTGAATCCGTCCGTGGCGAAGATGTTTACATCGTTCAGAGTGGTAGTGGTGAAATTAATGATAATCTGATGGAGTTGCTTATAATGATAAATGCATGTAAAATTGCATCCGCATCTCGTGTAACCGCCGTGATTCCTTGCTTCCCGTACGCCAGGCAGGATAAGAAAGACAAAAGCAGGGCTCCAATTACGGCGAAGCTCGTCGCTAACATTTTATCAGTGTCTGGGGCCGATCATATAATAACAATGGACCTTCACGCGTCACAGATTCAAGGTTTCTTTGATATACCCGTCGATAACCTATTCGCCGAGCCGGCGGTGTTGAAATGGATCAAGGAAAACATACCGGACTGGAAAACAAGTATCGTAGTATCGCCCGACGCCGGTGGTGCTAAAAGAGTGACGTCCATCGCTGATAGATTGAATGTAGAATTCGCTCTCATCCATAAAGAACGGAAAAAAGCTAACGAAGTCGCCTCAATGGTGTTAGTTGGTGATGTAAAAGACCGCACAGCTATACTGGTTGATGATATGGCTGACACTTGCGGGACAATCTGTCATGCTGCGGAGAAATTAATTGAGGCCGGGGCTACTAAAGTTTATGCTATTTTGACCCACGGAATCTTCTCCGGCCCGGCCATTTCTCGGATTAACAATGCTTGTCTAGAGGCTGTAGTGGTAACAAATACAATTCCCCAGGAAAGGCATATGCAGGATTGCCCTAAGATCCAATGCATCGATGTGTCCATGATGCTTGCCGAAGCTGTCCGACGTACACACAACGGCGAATCAGTTTCATACTTGTTTTCTAATGTTCCATACTAGTTATACTTCTTTTTATACTTAATATTAGGATATGGTCTCCGACATTAAGATCCAATTTGACAAAATTATCACTGAAGCTTTTTTGGTTGAATTTGTAAGGCCATTACAATATTGTAATCCACAAACATGTTGGACTTGACCGTCTTAGCTATAGTTTTAATCTCATTAAGTTAATATAAGACTAGTGTTGTCATAAATTGAATCGGCTTGTTTATGCATAAATATATATGAATTTTTATAACAATATTTTGATACAAAATTTCATACAGAAGTAATTTTCATATAGATTAGACATCTGCCATATTAAAAGTATAAAGTCATGCATTTACATTTTAGGTAAGCTTTATTGGCTATATATGATCAAAATAAATGTGTTAGGATTCACATTTCCCCTTTTCTTTTAGTTAGGGTTGTAGCTGTGAAATTTGTTATATTACTTCAGAGATCTAAAAATTAGAACATTAAGACATTTGTTTTGTAAAAGACAGCATGTTTTCTGTTTTATTATTCATTTTAACTACATAGTTATTATATATTAAATTTGAAGCGAAAAAAACATATTTTTTTATTAAAGATTTTTTCATGTTTAAAATATAAACCTTTGGTATGTGGAATTTGTTATATAAAATATTGTGAAGTTAATGTGGCATCAATAAATACTTTTATTTTAGTTAAATTTTATAGATTGAATGTAATACTAGAGCTACAAATAAATACAAGATTTATTTTGCTTGATATGTAAATTTTGAAATTGGAAGAATATAAATAAAAAAAAAACATTTGGTTATATACTAATAATCATAAAAAGTTTTATTATGTATCTATACAAACTCTTTTCTTTATTCATAATCATAATACACATATAAATACTTCATGGTGTTGTTTAAATTGGAACTAGTTACCAGTTGATTTGAGCAACGAATTACATCAGTGGATCTTTAATAATATGATTTGACCCTAGGTCGGTGTGATGTAAATGTTTGTCATAGGCGCGTCGCCGTTATCAAGAAAACAGCGGGTCAGAAATCAGATTTGTATATTGTTTAAAAGCAATTAATAATCAGATAACACAAGTAAATAACCTCTCAGTTACATATTCATGTTTTTTCTGTTCAATTTCAAAGAAAAAAATTAAGACAAGTATTAAATATTATACAAGGTAGTATATTGAAGGGCTACGTCAATTTGGAGATATGAATGTTGAGTTATTAAAAAAATTACGGCCAGCACTCACTTATTAATAAATCGCTGTGACAAGTTACATAATCAAGATTCATTACACAGTGTTGTTTCTCGAGCTGCTTATCTTTTCATCATTTATAAATAGATTTGCTAAAACATACGAAATCACATCTTGATTTTATTGTGTACAATATATCATGTAATATTTGAGTAATGAGTAAGTTCTCAAATAATAATATTTAATATTCATATAAGTATTTTATTAAGTACATATAACAAAATAAAGCGGTATGTGAGATCGATATTTTATTGATTTGAAATTACAGTTAACTTAAAAAATATATTTTTATGTTTTCAAATTAAAATGTACTCTAAATGCTTGGTAAAATAATGGGATATTTATTGATTTGTTTAATATATTGAGTGGAAGCGCTTGATTCAAAATTTAATTTACATTAAATTATTTATGTACAATTTATTATGTTCCTAGTGACTTACAATTTACAGACGAACAAACCGGAAACACGTCAGCGGAAGAATATTGACAGGTAGTATATGTTTTCGCGCTTCAAGTAGCTTATCTCTTAAATCTCTAAATGATTTTATCTTCACCTAAAACTTTGTTTTTGTTGGTTATAATTAAAAAATTTAATAGAGAGAGCAGTCATCTCGTAGTATAATTAATACAATTGCCTTTAAGTTTAAAAACAAGTTCTAAGCTCAATAACCTGACCTTTGGAATAAATAAAAAACGTCCTTCGGAAACTTCCGCTTTAACATGACGATTTTAAGGAGTGATTGTTAATAGATGAATTAAGGCGACGCGTACACCATCATTAAGGAATAATTTTCACGATAACTCGTTAATTTTATATAATATTAGGTACATTTAGATTAGATAGCGTATTTCTTATATATGTTTTCACGATTTACACATATATAAAATATTATTTTTCTATGATTAAAATACCAATAAAAATGTACCACGTCTCTCATAATTTATAGCAATGGTATATACTACATATATGTATAATGTATACTGACTTCCACTGCTATGCCAAATGAAATATGTCGAAAGTGTTGAAATTCGAAACTGTTTGCAAATGTACTCAAAGTATAAATTAATGTATAATGCTATATTACTGAAGAAACGTCATGGTCTCTTGGATTTAGGTAAACACATATAATGTTTTGGTTGTTTACACAATAACAATAACATATTTTTCAAATAATACCAGTTTTTGTGACGTCCCTGACGTATTGAAGATAGCAGTTTGACCTAACTATTACCCCCAGTCTCGGTGATAAAGATTATTTTCTCACTAATGCAAAATATAATAGGTACATCACAAGCATATAAAATAACGTAACGTATGGAAATATTTATGTAGATAAATTTTACGTAAATAATAGTGACGTTTGATACAGAGAGCATTAAGCGACATAGTATATTAATTTCTTTTAGTACTTAGGAATATATGACAATAAATATTAATTGAGAAGTTAACAAAAGTAGGTGGTTTTTATTAAATGGATATTTTAGTTAATAAGTATTAAAATGTATCATAGTAATCTGCAAGAAAACAGTATTTAACGAATCCAATTGAGTTAACTACACGTGTACGTTAAAGCTTTTAAATAAGTCGAGATTAAGCTTTAAAAAATCTATTTGTTCGTTTAAAAAAGTTTACTTATTTTCACGTAATCCTAGTGTGTCAAGTTAATGTGTTTGTATTCAAACATCGAACTAAAGGCATTTATAATAATAATAACAATAATTTATTGTTAATTTCATTCCTTATTGTTAAAATATAAATTATACGTGTTGTAAGCTTTTATACCCTGTATTTTTATCCAACTTTAGTATTATCAGTTTGCATTGCATTTATGTTTTCATTGATAAGTCTTAGTGAATTATAGTATTAAATATTAACGTAGGTTATGGAATGAGTAATGGAAAACGTTTCGTATGTCGTAAGTGCGTATGGAAATCTGTGCTAAGCATACTGTAGTGTCTTAATGCCTTTAATTCTCCCTTTGAATAACCATTCAAATGTTTCTATTAAATAGGCAAAAGAAAATTTTTGGGAATACCTACTCTAGAAATGTTCTTAAAAATAAGTTCACTTAAGAACAAGAACTATATTCACTTAAGAACAAGCACTATATTCAAGCAATTCTGATATCCAAATACCTAATATTTAATATTGTACTTCAATTGTTCGCAGCATTTGACAATATTAGGGTTTAATATATTTGATTTTGGGGAATAAAGATGCTCAAAATCTGTAGATACATATTGATTTTGTATGATTTTTATGTAGTTTTTTACTTATATTTTAGAAAAAAAATTAGTCTATTGAACATTATATCTACATCAGTTTAAACAATATTGACTTCAATTAAAAGATTTCCTTCACAAAACAAGTAATTTGCCTCCGTTTTATCGTTCGTTTAAAATTAAGTATGTAAACAAATTGAGATAAAAAAGATAATATTTTTTCCATCATATAATTTATTGATACTGAAAAAATACAACTTTTCTGTACTCTGTCGCTTTACGATTAATATTTTACCAAGGAGTAAGTTTTTATTTTGATTCTGGGGATTATTATACTGATTATTACTATACTGATTATTTTCATTTATGTAGGCGGATTCGATATTAGGGATTCTTTAATCTACATTTTTTTCTGCCGTGGAAGTGGCATAAGTTACAATTGTTACATTTCCTATTAACATTGATAATTAATCAATGTTTAGATAAAGTAATATTATTAGATGTAATTTACGATTTTATTTATGCTATTTTTTTATAGCAATCGTGATCACGAGAAAATGAGATGAAAGTGTCTCTTTTTATTTACCCGAAAGGCGGTTTGTGTAAAAAAATCAATAAATAAACCTTTAAGCACGGCATCGGCATAAGAACTAGCCTAAGTTATCTTATTGCATCAGCTACCTGCCAATAAAAGTCCCGTTAAAAACCAACCCTTTCAGAGATTAGCCAGAATAGTTCGATAAAAATTGTCATGTTGATGTATTTACCGTAAATATGTACTTATATGCATGTAGTAAAAAAACGCTTATTTCAATATTATTAACAAATATTTCAACTTTATTAATACGAGTATAGGTATTGTATAAATTTACGCGTATGGCTCTGGATGTAAGCAAAATGCTCTGGTTCTTATGCTCTTTAAGAATAGTTACGGATGTAGGATTCTATATTTTTGAATAGGCGCTCTCAGGTCTTAGATAATTGACGGTTTTCTTCTCTATAGAAATGAAGCTGTTTCTTTCAATTCCATAGCCTCACGAATAAACTTGATATAAGTATATGAACCTATTCCCCAGCGAGGACTTGAGGTACGAGTACTTATGTCAAAAAAGCTATAATATTTTAGGTCAATTCATAAATTACGCGAGTTGTTTTTTTGAAATTTCTGACCCTATTGGTGAGATTTTATTCAACCTCCTCCTCCCAAACTCACAAGAGATTTTTCAAAAGTATAAAATAAATTATATTTTTTGGAACAAATTAGGGAATAATCTTAATCGTATAACGACTATTAAGATTAAATCTTCATCATGTATAATCTGAATTAAATGGACTAAAGTAGTATTATTTTTCTTTGTTTCATTCAGAAAAAAATTACGTGATATTTACCGAGACCCCCCCCCCCCTCTCCAATGTAAGATTAGATGAGATTTGACTCGACCCCCTTAAACATCTCACGTATTTTATGAACGCCCCCTAGTTCACCGTTTGTGACTTGGCAGAGAATGTATTTTTTTTTATATTTCCTCCAAATCCTACATCCATATTCGTTTGTGACAAGTTATGGCACACATTATTATTTTTAATTTTTATTACCATTACCTTCTATGTCACTTTGTGTGCGGTCAATGTATCTTCTATATATATAAAAATGGATTGCTGTTCCTTAGTCTCGCTAAAACTCGAGAACAGCTTAACCGATTTGGCTAATTTTAGTCTTGAAATACTCCTGGAAGTCCAGGAAAGGTTTAAAAGGTGAGGAAAATTGGAATAATTGCCGGGAAAACCCTAAAAATACCCCTTTTCTATTTCCCCTACAAACGTTTTTTTTTGACATTAGATTTGACAACTAACTAATATGTCAATCATTCTGTTTGATTGAAACAGGAAAAACCTGATTATATATGGCCTCTAAGACGGAATAGAGTTCGCCTGGTCAGCTATACCTACATATATCACTCTTGACCCAACTAACGCGGACGAAGTCGCGGGCAAAAACTAGTTTTTTAATAAAAAATCAATTTTTCATGTTGCCCATTTTACCAGTAACTCCCTTTACATAGGTAATGCAGATTGTCGCTAGATCTGCTGATCGTATGAAAATCGTGTCTGAAGAAAGTTAGTTATACAGGTGACTGGTGAATTACTATCAATATTTAAGGAGAATACTCGGTACATGATTCTCATTCGAATTATGTAAAAAAAAATAGGTACTTAATTTTTGACCAAATTTCCGTATAAATAAATAAAGCGTGGACACGTTCCAAGTGTGGACGCGTGCGGCGGCGTGATGATACAACAACACGCCGCCGTGCGCGAGTGTGTGTGTGTATACCTAATCTGTAGGGTGTTCACACGATGCGTAATTAATTACATAACTTTTGGTTAACTTTACTTAGAAGTTTATTAATATTTATGTCATATTAATTTTTATTTTGTCATATATGATCGTCAAACATCACGTCCTCAAGTATCGATAGTAATTCACCAGTCACCCTGTATATAAAAATCTTTCTGACATTCTAAATATTATGACCTCAAACTAAAACATCTATAGGTATTTCTTTCAATATGTACTTATATTGTAGAAGATATAGACTGATATATTCATGCTAAATTTTCAGTATTTAATGCATAATACTAGAATATAGTATTTATAATTGAATTTATTTAATAATATATTTATTGAAGTGAAACTTAGCAGCATAATTTCATGTCTATTCATCACATGTCGAGTTACAGCTGACCGGGAGTGTGGGGTAAAGTAACAAGAACTTTTGCATAGACGCCTAGGACTTCTATTGCCACTTATTTTAATTCGTATTTGTTTCGTTCGATGATTTATATAAACAATCAATAAATACATAAAATCCCACACTCTTACACTACGATTTCTTTGGACATATCTTGTAGATTTGATTAATTTAAAAAGTTCTTGCGAAATTGACCAATACAAAATATATAGTTTTTTTTATACACATACATAGGTGTACATAACACATTTCTCTTTACAGATTGTGTAATATTTAATGCTTAAGTTTTAATTAACTTGGCACAGTAGCAGTATTGATATAACAATTATTACTTCATTTTCAATACAATATTTGCCAAAGTATCCAATGTCTGACAGATCTTTAACTCTTCTAGTATCAATTAATTAATGTTATGATTTCCATAAATTTAAATATTATTTAATACAAATAAATATATTGTTCGAGGTAGTTTCAGTCGTGATTCTTAATTATCAGCGTTACTTCCAGTAATTTTTTACAAAATCGCTGAAGTCAGTATTTATAGTTTTCAAATTAAAGTTGATCCTTAAATGTTGCATACAAAATTACAGAAGCTAAATATTATAATTAATTATAATCAGTCATAAAATATTTCAAGGATTATAGTATATTACAATAGTACGGCACAGGTGGCGCTATAGTAACAATCTTAAAACCTGAGTTCATTCGTACATACATTTCAAATGCTGAAACTACGACAAAAATCGCGGGGCAAAGCTAGTAAGTAATAAAAACTTCATATATATAGTATAATATATTTATTAATGGGCGTGTGTGGCGTGGTGTGCTTGAGCAGCGGCCTTCCTCATCTGTACCAACACGTTGCTCATTTCTTCACGCTTCCTCTTCGCCCTAATGTGTGTTCCAAGGCGACGCTTCAAGAATTTCAAAGCGCGCTTGTCCTTGGATACCTATATTATAAACGATATAAACATTATATTTATTTGTGTGAAATGTTATAAATTACAGAAAGAAATAAAGAATAATGTGATGATATATTTTTAATTAAAGAAAATTTAAATTTGATACATAGTTGAAAGAATCGCAAACAGACATATTATTTAACATTAATGGTAAAGACGTAGTGTAAGTTTGAAAATAGAAATAGTGTCAAATTAATTAGTTATTTTTTTTTTAATGTAACAAATTGCCACTTAATTCATTATTGCATGAAGCACCAAAGCACTCATAAGCCAAATATGTCATGCATCATTTTAAAAGAGCTCACAATCTTACAGAACTCAACCGAAACTAATCAAACACAGGTAAGGTAGAACAAATAAAGTGGCTTCTTTTGACAAATAGATTGTTTGATTCCTTTCAGAGCTATGATGTTGCAGACAGAGATACATCAACCTGATAATATTGTATTTTTTGTTAATAAAAAAAGCTTAAACTAAATAATAAAGCCCGATAATGAGATTATAGACTTTTGCAACTATTCGAAAGCCAGATGGTAATAAGTGTTTCAATATATAATTAAAATGATGTTTAATTTAGCACAATCATACAGATTAATCTGAATTGGGAGTAACAATAATTTTTATTATAATTATTTATATGTTTAAGACAAGTATTATTCTTTGTATTCAAACAATCTACATTTTTAAGGAGGCTTAAATTGTTTTTTGTATGAATGAAAATAATTTCTTTCAAGTTAAGTTTTGTTCGGATTTTATAATTTATATGAATTTTGGATTAAAATTAAATATCAAATTATCGACTGTTAGTAGTAATATATGTGTATATATGCAAAAAAAATGTATTTATGATTTTCATTTAAGAAATACTAAATCAATTTTGAGGAAACTTTATATTAGTCACTATAAAACACATGGATTAATTTGTATTTTAATAGAGAATATAAAAGTAGTAGAATTTTGTCCTGCTCACAAGAGTATGTTCTTATTAATTACATTGAGAAAAATAGAATATAATTTAATTAGATTTGTTTTTTAAATCAATGTATATGGGATTTATAAGACAGAATTTTATTAATATATCACTATATGTATTAAATTATGGAAAAATATTTTTATATATTAAAAGTAGTGTTAATGAGTGTGGCTTGGTGTGTGTTATATGTATACATAATAATTGATATAAGTTTTTATGGGAACTCCATAAAGACAGAAGTTGCATTGAAATTTTCATTACAAGTTACATCAAATTCAAAAAGACACTTAGTATTGTTTTGAACCTCTTCTATTGTAAATAACACTGGCAGATTATACTGTGCAAGTCTTTGACTAATAAAGGCCATATTTTAAACAACTAAGCCATAAAATTGTTTCACTAACATCCAATAACATATTTCCGAGCAATATTGTTATAAAAGTATCTTGTAGTATATTACTTGATCACAAAAACATTAGTTCAGTTATTGTCACTAGTATAAATTGTTTATATTACTCTGGAAATCTGTATCATCATATTGCTAAATAAACTTATATTATAAAGCAATGTATTCATAGAAATATTTATATTTAGGAAGTGTTTATGATATGTAACATAGCTCTTTGTTTAATTTAAGTATTGATCTAGGGTCAATATGTAATGTATGAATAAAACAGACCTTAAGCAACTCCATAGCCCTCTTCTCGTAAGGAGCATGTCCAACAACTTCTCTGACGAGGTCACGAACGAACTTGGAGTGCTTTGTTTGAAGCTGGAAATAAATAATATATATATTAATGACAAAGAGAATATCAGAATTTGTTAAGTAGACATATTATATTACAGTTCATGATACATTGATTTAGTAGACAGCGTTAAAAACGCCTGTTATATTGTTTGATATGGCTTAACAAAGATTTGATTTTTATAATATATTTTCAGTCACTACTCGCTAGATCAATGTAAATATTAATGAATGGTTTAAAGAATGCTTGTTGAAAATAGGATAATAAGACATAGATATTTAGTATTTCTAGGTTAAATTGTAAAATAAATATTTAATCTTAACTCGGAAAGCATAGTAAGTGTATTACATTAACGTAAATTATACTTACACCCTTTAGTCTTGCGGGTCTGATTCTGATGGCTTTGTCTGTGATACCTTTTTTGCCAGCAGATATTTTGGTAGTTTTGTGGCCTTTTCGCAGACCAACTGCGATCTCAAACCGGGGTGCCATGCTGAAATGCACAAAAACACGTTCTAGAATGAAAATAATTCCGGTTCAGCACAACTATACTTGTTTAGACACAAAATATATCACAAAAGAAGAAAAGTTTATAAGGATTAAAACGATAATTTTGAATTAAAAATTATTTTACGTACTTTCCGGATTGACAGTTATTTCTAAAAGAACTGACAAAGTTTTTGACAATTGATAGTTTACAAGCCTCAGTAATAGATGAGCTATAATTGTAGATTAAAAATCTGATTTGTTCGAAATATGTTTTAAATTGGTTTCTTAAACCAATTGCAATAAATATTGAAACTAATAAAATATAATATATTTTGGCTTCTTTGTGTTCTTTGCTTAAATAAAGATATATAAAGAGTCTAGAATAATAAGACAAAATATGAATTTTTAAATGTTTATATTCGTAGGAGATAATTTTCAAAATGTAATTTATATTTTGAAAATTTATAACATTTGGAAAGTTAGAGCTCCATTGAAGTTTTATTTGTTATATCCAATAAATTGAATAATACAAAAATGTTATATTAGTGCGGTATAAATTTACTGTGACTTACAGGTAATACCTTTGACAATTCCATGAAGCAAATGTTAATTGTCAAAACTATTTATTTGAAATATGCCATAGGTTGTTTTCAATTATTTTAATGTGTATAAATTTTAAAATTTATTACACGAGAATAAATTAGTGGCAAAATAATTATATAAAGATTTCTGTTATTTTTGAAGGAGAAAAGATAAAGGTTTATTTTTATAGTATACATTATAACCTTAAAATTAAGAATTAAATGAAGGAAATCTAGATTTCTGTATGAAAAATGGAAGTTGGTGCGGTTAAACAGGCCTTTAACAATGAGGTATGTTAATAGAATGTTTAAATATCAAATTATAATTCATTGCTATCCAAAATCTCTCATATTTTATTTATATTTATAAATATTTTATAAATTACAGATAATATTGCTAAAAAAGAATTTAAACCAAGCAAAAACACAGACAATACACAAGTTAACGCGGAAAGCAAAACAATTAGTAGAGAAGAAGGCTCCAGATGAAGTAAAGGAAAAATTAAAAAGAAAAGCTGAGTCCGCTGTCAAAGAAGTTTTGATTCTAAAGGTATTTGAAACTCCACAGATAAAAAAGTTTATGGATCATTAAAAAAAGTATTTATATATAGATTAGTTGCAAAAGTTTGGTTTTAATACTTAAAATTATATTATTGTCATATATACTTATTAAGTTGTTTCATTACAGAAAATCAAACCGAGAGATATAGCACAGTTTATAGTAACTCACAAAGGTGTTCTTAATGAGTACATGAATAAACCAGTAGATAAAGACAAAGCGTGTGCAAGACTTTTGTTGCATAAGGCCATGCAAGACAAATACAAACAAATACGGGAAAAATTCTCTAATGTGTCCATCAAAGATTTATTTATGTCTCGGCAGGAGAGGTTAAAACTTAAAAAGGAAGCTCGGGAAAAGCAGAATAATAAGAAGGATAAAAATAAGGCGGTGAATATCGAAGGTGAATGGAATGTAGAGGTCGCTGATCATAAAATAGAAACTAATCTACAATCCAATGATGATGTAGAAGAAAATATGGCTGAAGGTAGTGATGATGATTGTAATTCAGATGAAAGGGTATCTGAATTTGATTTATCAGATGAAGATGTTACTAAGGAAAGTATCAACGGCAATAGTGATTCTGATAAGGATGATGAATCTAATGATGGTAATTTATCACAAGTCAAAAGCTCAATACAAAAACAACCAGATAAAGTAGATGTTAGTACAAATATGAATAAGAAAGTAAAACAAAAAGTTAAAAAACATAAAGAGAATAAGAACAAGAATTTGAATAAGAAATTGCAGAACAGGGAATTTCATAAAGTATCTAACGATGATCATTTGCAAGCTACAAAAATTGTTGATCCGTTTTTCATAACATCGTCGGGAGAAAATTATATGTCTCTCGTTGAACCGAGGCAGCCAGATGAAGTAAAAGAAGTTCATAAACAAGGGAATAGAAAATATAGACGGGCTGTAATGTTCGGACATGTACCTAAACCTAAGATCAGAAAAAATTACAATGACATTGAAATTAATGAAAATAATTTTGTCAGCAGCAAAAACAATGATAGACAAAAAAATAAAGATGGCTTCACACAAAATGATAATAAATTTGACAGAAGAAAGAAATATGATGATAATGAAAGCGATGTACCAGAAAAATTACATCCATCATGGGAAGCCAAAAAGAAATTATCATCGATTGTACCTTTCCAGGGGAAGAAAATTGTTTTTGATGAAAGCTGATGTTATTTATAAATTTTTATAAATAATAACTGATTTTTATTTAACCCTATGCTATTGTTAAGACTGTGACAGAATGTATTTATATTATTTATATACACTTCTGCATTGAACCTGTCAATATGTATGTTTTTTATATTTGTGAATAATTTTTCTTTTTGCTCGGCATCACATGCAATCGTATAAACAATAAGGAATACATGAAAGATATATATAAGAGTTTCATAGTACAGCTTGTCCAATCATTGTAGACATTCAAAGATGCATAAATCCCTACTAATATTATAAATGCGAAAGTAATTCTATCTGTCTGTCTGTCTGTTACGCTTACGCTTTCACGCCTAAACCACTGAACTGATTCTAATGAAATTTGGTACAGAGATGGGGTTGACCTTGAGAAAGAACATAGGATAGTTATTATCCCAGATTTTTGAAAGGTTCTCTTGGAAACGTGAAAGCTAGTTTACAATAATTTGAAGTTCAGTAATTTGTTTTTAAAGAGAACAGTGTTGATCTTCAATTGTCTGATTTGTAATATGTATTCAAATTCTTCTTGTTCTTCTGCTTTTGGTTGTAAGTCAGCTTTCGTCAAAGTGGGCGATAATGGCTCCTTTTTGGCCATATAGAGCTTTAGCTTTAAGAGGTAAAGAAAGAAATGAGGGCGTTGTATAGAAACCTGGGGATGATTTATAATTTCATTTAGATAGTTATAAATTATAATAGTGTTTCATTTAATAAAAGGGGTACCTAAAAATAATTTGTTCTCAAATTAGGTAACAGACAAAATAAGTTTGGTAACCCAACACTTTGTTGGAATCAAAAGTAAACTCTATTGTCGGTGATTCAACGTTAGAGCACGACCGGCCTTGACAATCAGTACATGTCCAGAGAAACGAACACAAAGTACAAGTTTTTTGCAATCGAATTTAGAGCATTACATTCAATATTTACAGTTAAAAAAAATTGTATTTAGTATTTCCCGCGCAAATGGGAGTCAAGTTTGGACTGTCTAATGTTTTTTTTTTTACTGAATTCCAACCCCTGTTTTAAGGTCTAGTGAGTAACCAAAAGATATTGAACTTAGTAATTTAAATGAGTAAGATGTTAACGTACAGCAACAGAGGTTAGAGAAGATAGGATGATTACATTTGTTGTAATTTTTAATATCTTTAATGAAACATGCGTATTGATCCTTATCTAGACGTAGTTTTTAGGAGCTCCGTATAGTGAAAGAAGAAAGTGAACGCCTTTCGTGAATGATAACTGATGGCTTCTTGTTTCTTTCTGTGACTTGTGTTTTGTGTGATGTTGAAATATTTCTGGTTTTTGAGAAGATAGTTTTAACAGTTGGCGTTCGAGCGATGAGTAATACTATTAGGTACGGTAGTCTTTGACTTTAACAACACAATAGTTATATTTATCAAGGTTTTCTTGCTCTGTTACTGTTTCAATTACATCAGTAGTATTAGTATTAGTTTGTTTTACAAATTTATTTTCACCATCAAACTTTTTTTTCCAAAAATTTTAGACTTTGATTCCTTGTCTCAAAAATGGTGGTTCGTTTCAGAAAAATATTCATACAATTTTTGCAGATAACTTTATAACGGGGAAGTTAAATATTAAAATTAATAATAATGTTTTAAACAATATTAGTTATTTTCAGCTTGTTGTGAATTTATACACTTATACTCAAATTTTTTGGTTTAGCTGTTAGATATAATCTTCACACTTTTATCGAGTTTTGGGAATATCATCGCAATGTCGCAACAGGAGGTTCACCGGAACTAGATAAATTTTAAAAGTGATCTATGAGAAAAAAAAGTCCGGTAACCTCTGATCCAGATTGACAGGACTAAGATAAGTGATAACATTCAAAATTAGATAATATTGACATATATAATGACATCCTTTCCATATTTATTTAGGGACAACTATTTTTTGTGTTAACAATTTTTTTTTAGGTATAGGTTGCAATTCGCTTCATTGCTTTAAAGTAAATTGTAGACAATCTATAAGTTAAACGAATTTGTTTTTTTTTTCAGTGGAAAGTGAATTAATTATTATTTGTGCATTCTCATTATTGAAAATAATATTGAATGTAGGAAAACAAAGTCCAAACCAACCAACGCAGCTCAAATGTAATTTTTAGTATGCACTCAAGGAATCTTTTAGTTATTTAATGCATGGACTCGCTCCAGATATTTATAAATTTCGTAAGCGCTGTATGGCAAATTCTAATATGACTCAAAAGTATCCCTTGTACAGTAATATATGTTTTGGGCGTAGCTCAATTATATATGTTATACCTATATTAAAAAATTTGCTTCAAAATTTTGTTGTTATATGTCACGTTATTTGACATTCCACAATATTTTATCAATACATTGTAAGTAAACGTTTAATATACCTAGTTATGTATTAGTTATTAAGTTATTACTTTAATACAATTTAATTCTTTATATAAATATCTTTGGAGAAATAGTTCTTAACTTAATTACTAAATCCAAGAAATCGCCATCATTTTAGGTAATATTTGATTCATCAATTTATCTATCAATCTTCAATTTACCTACTCATGATACGTTTTACTTTTAAGCAATAAGCACAGATTAAAAAAAGCTTATATATATACAGACTAAAAACATATCCCTCCTTTTTAGCACCTTTCTCCGTCGGTTAAAACATATATCATGGGAAGAGTTAACCACTTGTACTCCTTGTGAAATACGATGCACTTACGTATGAGGATTGATGTCCAAATATATTTTAAGAATAATCCAACGAAGGAATTTCTTACTGAAGGATTTGTTGCGGTCTTTGGCACGGAACCAACATCTGAATATCGATAGACATTTTTCATCTAACCTTTTAAACAATATATAGATATACTAGTTTTTGCCCGCGACTTCGTCCGCGTTAGTTTGGTCAAGAGTAATATATGTAGATATAGCTGACCAGGCGAACTCTATTCCGTTTTAGAGGCCATAAATAATCAGGTTTTTCCTGTTTCAATCAAACAGGATGATTGACATATTAGTTCGTTGTCAAATCTAATGGCAAAAAAAAACACGTTTGTATGGGAAATAGAAAAGGGCTGTTTTTAGGGTTTTCTCGGCAATTATTCCAATTTTTCTCACCTTTTAAACCTTCCTTGGACTTCCAGGAGTATTTCAAGACTAAAATTAGCCAAATCGGTTCAGCTGTTCTCGAGTTTTAGCGAGACTAAGGAACAGCAATCCATTTTTATATATATAGAAGATATTATACACCTACGTGTGTGAGTGTATGTCGAACCGAATGAATTTTTATACGTTTATTTTTAGACATTAAATATATGTGACAAAATATGTAAATTTAAAGAAGATAAACCTTTCGTTTAATCCTTTTTAACTTATTACAAACTGTGATCATAAAAATAAGAAAAGAAATATTTCAAAATAAATTAAATATCTCAAATACAAAGATCACAAACATAACTCTCCTTCTAAATTGTCTAATTGTCGGTTAAACGAATTATCTTTTAAATTTTTACTTTATTTATAATTCAATTATATTAATATATGATAAGATAATAAGAAATAAATTCATTCATATTGCTCTAATTTTATTATTCAATACAGTAATGAGTGATCACATCTAAAAATGACTAAAAATATTGCCATTACTAAAATTTCTTTACTTTAACACCTTACTTAAAAGTTACTTAGGTTTCTAAATACGATAAAAAACGAGAATTTATGTACAGAAAACTTCAATACTGTACGTAGATGTATGATTTGAAAATTCAAACTTGTATTAGGGCCTGTATTCCACATTCCGGCATGCGATTTATGTTTACAGTTAAATTGCTAACGTCTGTATAGTGGACGTGTGAATTTAACGTATTCAACTGCTTTGTACTAAGATTTGACCTAACATATTGTTGTTGGAATATCTTGATAATTGCTTGTTATAAATTGCCGAATATGGACATTTGTCATTGCATTTACCTCTTGTTTGTTTGGTAAATTGCACGCTATAAATTGTAAGGACGTATATTAGTTATCATAATCTTTGTGGAAGTATTTTGAAATGGATGACATTCCATAGACAAGTAAAATGTTTTATGTTACGTATTATTCTTCCAAAGGTCAATTGTATACACAAATAAATATATATTAAAACATGTTAACTCAGAATAAAAGATTTAATATCTTATTAAAAATATCTGATAATATCATTATATTTAAACAGTCGTATAAATTATATTTGACTTCCATTTAAAACCAGCGATTTTCGAGCCAGCCACGGTTTTTAATGAGCTTGTTTGCATGCAGATATTATTGTTTAAATTTCGTATTTTGTTGAATTTCATCAAAAATTTATGTCAGCAAAAGAATTTTGAATATCCATTTCATTTACGTGTATATCATTCGGCGGAAACGCATCAGTACAGCGTCGGTTTGACTAAAATTTTGTTATACTAAAAAGAACTTTATAAATATAAAATAAGATTGTTTTTCGTTTGATGAGTAACAATTCAGTTATTCCTCAATGCGGTGGCGTCCGTTCGACAATGTCTGTGTTAAGCTAAAACCAAATCTATTTCTTTAAAATAAAGTTGTTTCTCGTATAATAATTTTTAGTTCAGTTTCACAATGAGGCACGCTCTCGTAGCTATCCGTGCGTGTTCTTGTCGTATCGTTTCCGTAACTGCGGTCTGAATGGGGTTTAATATGTTAAATCGATATGGAATTCGGATTCTGATGGCGGTGTGATCATGGCCATGACGTTTGCCATTAATATTATATTTTTGTACACATTTAGTTTATAGATTATGTATATTTTAATAATCTGTATTCGATTGTCCTTTCTAGAAAATTCATTAAACTACTTTCGTAACGAACTTAAGTTATATGTTATCTGTGTAAAAAATATTACTGACCTGAAAAATGGTTGATTTATAATACATAAAATTTCCCCTCATTGATGTTTAAACGCAATCTTGTTCTGTTAAATTATTG